AGCCATATTGTCCGAATGAAAAAGAATGGATTTATTTTGTAAGTTCTTGCCCCACATCTCCATTGCAACAACTATTGGAAAGAGTTCTTTCACTGTTATATGACACTGCATCATATGCATGTCACAATCTTCCCAAGTGCCATAAAACCATCTTTGACCAAAAACAGCTCCAAAACCTAATGAGCCTGATGCATCTGTGAAAAGATGCAACTTTCTGGAGTCTTGCCAGATATCATCTAGAAAGATGTGGTAAACGGGCTTTCATCTTTATGGTGTCAAATTCTATGCCCAAAAATGTTAAAACTGGGTTAGGACCTTGTGTCTTTTCATGTTTGATAGGAACCCCCATCACTTCACATATGGAAATGAATTGCTTCATGCTTAATAAGCAAATGGAAGACTCAGGAGAACCAAAAAATAGAAAGTCATCCAACACATGCAACATGTGTTCCACTCCAAGTTTGTGGGTGGCTATCCATTGCAAAGCAGTACTGAAAGTCTCAAAAATTGAGCATAAAATAGAACACCCCATGGACAAGCACCTGTCATAGTCATACTGGCCTTGAAAACATATCCCTAATAGGTCATGGTCTGCCAGGTGAATTCGAATTATCCTAAAGGCAGAAGCTATATCTGTCTCTGCTAGCAGACATCCTTGACCAAATTTCTTAATTATTTTGATTGCATCATCAACTGTACTGTACGACCCAGAACAAAATTTGGTCGGGATGTCATCATTTATAGATCCCCCTTCAGGGTATGAAAGGTGGTGAATCATCCTAAAGTCACCGGGTTCTTTTTTGGGAACTAACCCTATCGGTGAACATTGCAAAGTTGGAAAAGGGGGGGGGGGGGTCTGAAATGGACCAACTATCCGTTTCAACTCTATTTCCTTCTCCAATTTTTTCATAACTAAATCAAAATTTGGTATACTGAAGTTAAATTCCTACAAAATCTAAAATTACGAGGACCTTCAAATTGTATAAGAAAACCAGCCTTAAAACCCTTGATCAGAGTGTTATTCACTGCTGTGTCATACCCAGACAGAAAATGTTCCAGTACTTTGCATTTTACATGTTTGAATTCTTATACTATAAAAATGACAAAAATCACAAAGTTGCACATACCATGGGAAGGACTTAATTGTCTTAACTGGTCAACATACAGTGGATCATCAACTTCACCTAGTATGGCATGCTTAAAATTGTATTCAGGCTAGTCTTATAAGGCAATGGCTAATCCCCTTAAATCACCCTAAGCCAGCTGACATGGATAATTCCAATATGCACTTAACATATCCCTCCATCTCTAAGTAGATTCAAAGGTTACACAAGGTACGGGATTTAATATCAACAAACCATCAATAAAATTGAGTCATTATTGAGGTAATATGTAGAAAATTATCCCTTGGTGAAAATACCTTGATGCTATATAAAGAAACAAATCTCAAATGTGGAGGTGACTGTGAGGTCAAAATACATGTACACTTACTATATATGTATATGCCTGTATTGATTCAAAAACATTATTAAAGTGTTGAGCATATATGCATAATAAATTCATTATTATCATTATGTAGTTATTATATATACACCTGTATATGTTCATGTGATTAAGACACCCGCCATTAAGAATCCGTCGTAAAGCTGATACTAGGGCACCCCTGATATTACTGTAATATTTGTTGTTGCCCTCGTCTCCTAAATGCACACCATCAGAGTCAAACACACTATCCTGGCTCTCGGGAGATAAATCCAGACAGACGAAAAACTTGGGCACCATCAACATTGCGGAGATACTCGTCCAAGCGATGATTGAGTTCATCTGCCCTTTTATTGAACTAGGCGGTTCAACCGCGTAGCGAATGCGTCGGGAGGGGAGTGTGTGGGGGGCGAAATATGTCATCGACAGTTTTACTCCTATCACAAAGATCATTCGATGCAGTCTGCAGAATCACTATGTCCGGAAACTGAATCCGCTGTGTAGACCCCGAACTTTGATTTTTTTTCTCTACTGTAGCCTGCAAAAAGCATGCAAGTCTTTTTACAAAAGAATGTCCAAGTGTCACAAATGATGTCAGCATAGTCGACGATGATATACAAAACAGAGTCAATGATAAGAATATGTTCGGTTTGGCGGGACATGCACTGAGAAAGGTTCTACGGTACAACGCTACTCACAGTTGTGTTCGATATTGCACTGTGCGATCGCGTCGATCTTTACTGTATGTATATTATTTCAAACATCACACGCATCACATCTAAGTTTCAGTTGTATCCTGATTCAAAGAGGCAAATATCGACGAAAATTCTGAAAAAAATATCTCGCTCCAAAAATAGCTGTCGCTCGAACCAAAACAAACAGGTCACATGACCTACATACGGACATACGATCCGGAATTAGCATGTATGATCCGGTCATTACAATATTATAAAAATAAGGAATATTCAAACAGATGATATAAATTACTTTATGTTGCACATAAATACAACAATAGCATATATTACAGATAAGTCATAATAATAATTTCATATAAAATATTATGTATAATAGAATAATTTTATACTGAATGTTCATAACAAATAATGCTTGTTATAATATTAAGTTTTAGATATATAATGCATGTGGAACATTTATAAGCAGTATCATCATGAGCAAAACATGATAAGGTCACTGATTAGATGCACATGTATCAATAGATTCATATTATAATACTTACAGAATTATTTTTTCATATATTTGTATATAAATTTCATTACAAACAAAGATAAATGCATAATAGCTGAAGTGTGTGTATCAACATAATTGGCCAATATATGATCATGCTGTGTGTGTGTATGTGTGTGTGTGTGTGTGTGTTTTACGTTTATCTTTGATACGAGCCAGATATGAATGCTATACTAGTTAAAATATTGCATCAACTTTACCTTGTAATTGTATATCTATAAACTGAACCGTAAAAAGAAAGCTACGCCTAGTATTATACTTATTGATTTTGAACACCGCATAAGTGTCGGTGTGCAGTTCTGATTTTATGTATGTGTACATCAATGATTACTCTGAAAGGGCATGAAGCTGAAAAGGGAGTGATAACTGTTTTCTATTTTTTTTTCTTTTCAATTTTTTTTTATTTTGATTACTTTGTGTTTTACGCCATATTAAAAGCTATGGTTATTTGAGATCGTGCCAGGTTGTGGTGGTGGCAGAAAGCCGGAGTTCCCGGAGTAAAACTACTGACCAACGGCAAGTACTTGGCGACTGCCCCACGTAGGTATCTTACCAGCGACCCAGTGTTGGAGCGCTAGTGGTAGCAGAATGTTAGACACCTTAATTGCTTGGCCAACGCGTCCCTTTTTAAAAACAAGAATAACAAAAAACTAGGGTTGTCAAACCAGTCAAATTTTGATAACTGGTTACTCGTGCAAACTTTTGATCGAGTAACCGGTTGATTGGTCAATTTGGTAAACAAACAAAATACATCGTGTATTTTAAGCTCAACGCAGGAAATAGATGTATGTAACCTCAGTAAATATTATTCATGGACAACAAATGTCGGAATGCAGTGATGCGGGAATTAATTACAGTTATCTGTGTACGAAATCATATGCGATAATACTGTTCTTAAAGTGTGTAATTTGCATATTATCAAATCATCTCGCATGTTAGTCTGGCTTCGTTTAAAAGTCTGTCTAGTTTTTTTATGGTGCTGGCGGCATTTCTACAAATACAAAACGAACATGTCAGTCTGAACACTGCATTTTTCACGAAACAATCCTATTTGGTCGCATCTTTAGATTATTTGTCGGTCTAAGCAAGGAAACATGAGGCTCCCCATAGGAGAAGGAAATATCCGAGTATTTGGTTACACTATATGTCTCGCTTATCAGAGAAAATCGGTTTTGGCATATATTGACATGAAATCAATGCAATGATGCAAGATACGTTAAGAGATTTTATTGATTTTTCAAATCGATTCTTTTTTAATAGGATTGACGGACACGTAAAAACAGACTAAATGGATCGCTTGGCGTGTTTGTGTCCATATACATCCAGTACAACAATGAAGAAATGTTTTGCAGTAATAGGAACCTTCCTGCTTCTTGGTATCACTATTTTATGGTAAGTAGGCATATGTCCTCTGACACGTGACAGGTGTATCCACAATTTTACCGATGTAAGATTTAAAGATTATCACGATTTGTGTTCAGGGTTTGTCGTGAAAACAATTTTCTCATTAAAGGCGCGTGGATAAAATTGAGAGGCCACCGCAGGTGAACTCGAGTTTTTCGCCATTTTCGAGCGATGAAAAAAAAATCTTGAGCCATAAACCCTGAACATATTTTGTAATAAACTGTATATCATCTACACTGTTATGTTATTTATTACTTCATTCATAAAAAAGTCAACTGAATACCGTACTTTCAAGTGACAACTAGCCTCAATACCAAGTAGATTTTAAGAAGCAGAATTCCGTGAAGGTATTCATGAACCTTAAAACTATGTAGAAGGTATTTTTAAAACAATGTTATTATGTTTTAAAGGAACAAGGACAAGTCATGGAAAACGGCACCGTTAGGAAGTGAAGTAATATATGACGTCACTACAGTAGCGAGTAATGTACATTCATCTGTTCATCTTGTGGAGAACCGGAAGTACGCAGTAGGTGAACGAGCTAGAGTGCTCATCACACTACGGGATCAACTTGGAAGACGGAAAACTTCCGGGGGTGACGTTCTACGGGTGTGGCTCCGAGACAATTCACTCAAAGCCAATGTGGCCGGGGACGTCATAGATAACGGAAATGGCACCTACACCGGAAGTGTCCTACTTCCATGGAAGGGTCGTCCAAAACTCTATGTTTCTATTGCAGTACCGCGCGAAATAAACATTTTGATTCTCAATACGATGGTCAAAAACTCAGGATCATTTTATAAAGTAAGCGGCATGTTCAATAAAACAAGTCACGGACCATCTGAACTTACCCAATGTGGTCCACATCCAACCAGCCAATATGTGTAATTTAACTCAACAGAATTATGATTTAGATTGGTACTGCAAAGCTCCAACAACACATGGAATTACATGTCAGGATTGGAAAATGGCATTGGGTGATAAGAACACCTATGTTTCAAAGACAGATATGGAATTTATAATGTAAGTGCCATACATATTTGAGGTCATCACTGATCAGTGGAATTGTCCATTAACTTATATTCATTACCCGACAATAGTATGCCATTATTCAAATATTTAAATTAAATCGATAAGGTGAAATCAAAGAAATAATGTGTTAAGCTAAAAACATAAGACCAGTGTGAATAAGTTTTCTATCATCATAGACGCTCTAAAATCTCAGACCAAGGTGACTAAGATTGAAAGTCGATTGATGTATGGCTCTGTTGTAGTAGTTCATCCTTCATAGATAAACTCAGATAGAATATGCTCTAGAGTTGGGAAGCAACTGGGACACATTCACTCCATAAACACGGGAAGCTAGACTAGATCTGTGATGATTTAGGACAGAAGTTTAATAGGTCGTAAAATTACATAACTTATTGTATTTTAAACATTCACATGACTTCCTTGTTTAAAACACGGTCCCGTGTTTTATTAAATGCCTTTGTCTTTTGTCAAAAATTTACTTTATACACAAACAATGTACGTATCAAACGTGTCGAAACATTTTAAGGCCGACTGGTCCCTTTGTCAATTTATGACAGAGTGAGCGATTTGTACTATTTACCTGTACAACGAAGAATCGTAGGGACAAGTCAGTTTAATACGCACAATAATAGCACGTGCTGTCACGCGATCTGGTTACGCCGCTACTTTTTATATTTTCCAATATGACACTTTGCAGACCGCTGTAAATAACACCACGAATGTATTTTGCTCAAGTGACCTAGGAATATACACAGTAATAATCAGATAACTGTTTCATTACTTACTACATTTAAGAATATCAGTCAGTTTTAGTGTAATAGAGTAATATACATGTATATGTATACGTTAAAACGCACGAAATACAATTTTCAAATAGTAAAAGAAAACAATCACTTTTGCTTTGGACAGTTTATTATCATTATTATTATTCTTTCTTTTTTATTTATGTTTTGCTATGGTTTTTGTTTGTTGTGTACCAATCGAATTATGCTAGATAGTAAGCAGATAAAAATTGTACATTTAATCACATAATATTTTCATACTGTCAAAAAAAAAAGTAAAAACCTTTACATAATGAATTAATCATTCAACGATATGTGTTATGCAACAAAAAAGAAGAAAAAACACATAAAAAGATCATTTATGTTCAATTTAAAGTCACGTGTAAAGTTCTAACGTAGTAGTTTTCTGATTTTAGCACGTACCAGCATCGGGAGTTACAGCAAACACTTGAACTGCAAGTAGAAGGTGGTATGTATGTAAAACATATCACTCTGAACGCCCAACCCTCTTTTTAAGCATTAACATTCAGAATATCTTGCTGGTGCCAAACAATTATCTGTTTAAGCTGTAAATTTGTAACGTTATACATGGTTTTATGGGCTCCCTTTTCACTTTGCTAATGTTTGCACATATTTCGGAACTGTTTAGACATGGAAATTCATATTTTGACCTTTAGTACCATTGACAAGTCCAAATGAACAAAAGGCTATAGTGTGCAAAAAACAAGTTAATGTAAAGTGTGCCACTGCATCAGTTGTAATCGAAAAGAAGAGTTCCACTCAAGAGTGCTTTTACTTGGAGTATTCCGCCTTCTATATAACAGAGAAATAAATAAAAAGGACTTAATGTAAGCAACCCTACATTTAATTGTATTGGTTTTGCAGCCTGTATATTGGACATTCCGTTGATGCTGTGATTGTATACAATTTTGTAATGTACAGGTTCTTAGTTTGTATTTTTCTTTTTCTATTTCTTTTTACAAACATTCTGATTTTTATACTACTACAATTCTGTGAAATGCATGGCAACATGTGATTTTTATGAAATGTGTCTTTGGAAAAAGTTATTGAAAACTATTTTCAAATAGTGGCAGTGGTAATACGTAAGTTCCAGTTGTAGGTATCCTCACATTAATACGCGCTTTACATGGATTTACCTATGTTTTAGTGGGTGTTTCTTTACTTCGTATTTCTAGTGAATTAGTTAACGACTCTTTACATTTCAATGTATAAGTATTTTGCAAAATCTGTTACAGTATTTTTGACTTGGAGTATTCCGCCTTCTATACAAGAGGCCCAAAAGGGCCTGTATCGCTCACCTGAATATCTAAGCAATCATAGCAAAATATTCTCCAAATAAGATCCAAAGAAAATATGCCAGACCCCAAGGCCAATCCTTATACCATATCTGTATTAGATTTTCCATGCCCAGCATTTGTATGTATGGTTATCGGGTGGGGATCTCAACAGTTTCCAAGCTGTGATTCATAAACTAGGTCCCTAGGGTTGTGGCCAGACCCCAGGATCAATTCTAATATCATGACTGCATTTGTCTCTTTAAGCCTAGCATTTGTATATATAGTTTTGGGGTGGGGATCTCGACCGTTTCAAAGTTAGGACCCAGGGGTTAAGTCTGCAAGGGTAGGGCAGACCCTGGGATCAATTCTAATATCATGACTGCATTCGTCTCATTATGCCCAACAATTGTATATATAGTTTTGGGGTGGGGATCTTTACCATTTCGAAGTTATGACCCAGGGGTTAAATCTCCAAGGATGGGGCAGTCCCCAAGGCCATCCTGGAATAATATGTGCATTCTCTCTTTATACTTAGCAATTGTATATATGGTTATAGGGTTGGGATCTCAACTGTTTCCAAGCTGTGACTAAGAAACTAGGTCTCTCGGGGTTCGGTCAGACCCCAGGGTCTATTTTAATATAATGACTGCATTCGTCTCTTTATGCCCAGCATGTGTATATATAGATTTGGGGTGGGGATCTCAACCGTTTTAAAGTTATAGCCTAGGGACTATGTCTCCAAGGGTGGGGCCAGAACCTAGGGCCATCCTGGAAGCAAATATGCATTCTTCTCTTTATACTCAGCATTTGTATATATGGTTATATGGTGGGGATCTCAACCATTTGCAAGTAATAAACTTTTTTTGGCCCCACCCCTTAGCCGGGGGGTCAGCCCAACCATTTGTACAATTTTGAATCCCTGCCTCCAAAGAATGCTTCTGACCAAATATGATCGATATCCATCGCATAGTTCTACAGAAGAAGTCGTTTATAGCAATATAGCCAAATAACCCTTTTTTGACCCCGCCGCTCAGCTACCTGGGGGGTCAGCCACACCATTTATACAATTTTGAATCCCTGCCTCCCATGAATGCTTTTGATTAAATATGATTGATATCCAGTGCATAGTTCTACAGAAGAAGTCGTTTGTAGCAGTATAGCCAATTTGTCCACTTTTGACCCCGCCCCTCAGCCCCCTGGAGGGTCAGCCCAACCATTTGTACAATTTTGAATCTCCACCACCTAGGGATGCTTCCAGTCAAATATGGTTGATATCCATCTCTTAGTTCCAGAGGAGAAGTCGCTTAAAGCAATATAGCCAAATTGCCCCCTTTTTGCCCCGCCCCTCAGCCCCCTGGGGGGTCAGCCCCACCATTTGTACAATTTTGAATCCCCACCAACTAGGGATACTTCCAGTCAAATTTAGTTAAATTCCAATCAGTGGTTAAGAAGAAGAAGTCGTTTAAAGAAATTGTTGACGGACGGACGACGGACGCAACGGTATGGCATACGCTCACCTTGGTCCTTCGGACCAGGGGAGCTAATAACAGAGAAATAAACCAAAAGGACCTGGAGTAAGCACCCCTGTCAAGTTATTATAGGTTTTGCAGCCCGTATATTGGACATTCCGTTGATGCTGTGATTGTATAATTTCTGAATGGCAATATTGGTAAAGTGAATGTTTTGTAATGAACAGGTTCTCAGTTTGTATTTTTCATTTTCTATTTCTTTTTACAAACATTCGAATGTTTACACTACTACAATTCTGTGAAATGCATGGCAACATGTGGTTTTTATGAAATGTGTCTTTGGAAAAAGTAATTGAAAAATCTTTTCAAATAGTGGCAGTGGTAATACTAAAGTTCCAGTTGTAGGTATCCTCACCTTAATAAGCGCTTTACATGGATTTACCTATGTTTTAGTGGGCTTTTCTTTACCTCGTATTTCTAGGGAATTAGTTAACGACTCTATACATTTTAATGTAAAACTTTCTTGCAAAATCTGTAACAGTATTTTGGTGATCACTAAAATCATCTAATTGGGGATAAGTCATGTAACAAATTAACTACCAAATAAGTGATATAGTCGTTTCACAAATTAACCAACAAATCGGAGATACATTCTGCTCACTAATTAACCATTAAATCACAGATTTAGTCATGTTATCAATTAACAACCAAATCCGAGATTTTGTCATGTCACAAATAAAATCAATAAAATGAAGATCACGTCAAATTATCTATTTCATGAACAAGTAAAACCACCATAAGTACAAAGTAAATAATTAAGAAAACCCCTTACTTGAGCAGACTTACAACCACACATTCGGTACTCGGGTCAACGGTTGGTTACATAATCATAGCAGTACATTTACATTAGTATGATTAACATCAAATGTAATGAATCAATTTCGTACAAACAAACAAACAAACAAAAAACTAAGAACAATCAGAGCAGGGACTCCTATAGATACATTTGTATACCCACAAGTATTCAAGTGTGGCCTTTGCTTCGACTTTTGATCAATAACCAATAGAATCAAAGCAGCTGTAGGATCCGATGTTACCCTAGTAGGGTGTAAATACATATTATTCTATTGATGTATTTTTGAAGATATTCTGTATAAAAGATTTATCTGCGACCTTTGACCCTTTAAATCTTACAAATGACCACGTAGAACTAATCGGGTTATAACTCGATGGATTATGGTGTAAATATGAACTAAGCTGTTTTTGGTTTAATCAGATATCTTGAACACAATATTTTGTGCTAAAGACGAACGTTTGAACGGACGCATGACAAAAAAAATGTATATACACCCCTTATCGCAGGCATTCTGCATTGAAGAAGTTTACAGTATTTCAGTATCTACATGGTTAAAGTCCTGTCCATTGCCTTTAAAGAATAAGCATGGACGTATGATGAACGCACACACAAAAACAAATCATATACAGTCCCTTATCGCAGTGTGTGTGTGTGTATGGGGGGGGGG